GTCCAAATAAATGATGCTAGTGTGTGCTAGAAATGATTAAACATTGCTCATCCGGTAGCTAGAAGTAAGAATAGTGGTTTATGTTTTATATAAATTATATACAGTATATATATGTATATATTTGATATATATTTTTTCTCCTTCCCAACAGATACAGATGAAGAATTGGCCCGCTATATACACAGGCATTTTCTTTTATTTTAGTATGCATTATACATATGCTTAAAAAAACTGAACGAGTAACATCAGTAACAGCAGCAAAAAAAAAAAAGGATTTTTTTCCTTTAAATCAAGCATCTTAAAACAGTGCTACAATGTATTTCTTTGATGGTAATTTTCTCCAAAAGTAACAATGCATTTGTAAAAAAAAAATTCTTTTACACATGCATGCGTTTTCGTCGATCAATACTGCAAATGGTGCAAACACTTTACAAATACCAGATCTGTAAAAATCCTCTCACTAATTTCCTCTCTCAAAAAGCGTTTATTTCGTTATTCCTTCCTTGTGAGAGCACCGAGTTGTCTCTCAAAAAGCGTTTATTTCGTTATTCTTTGCACCGAGTTGTCCAAACACTGGGGCCGGGTCAGGAGCAGATAGATGGAGCGTTCGTGTGACCTAAGATATATGACATGTAAAAGTCATGCATAAAGGCTAAAATGCTTTTATCATTTTCTACGCCCTCTATTGGTGAAACGTGGGTATTGCAGGGGAAAAGGCAGAAGTATAAGGATAATATAAATTGGGAAAAGTTTGGCGGGCCGGATCAAAAAGCTAAACGGGCCGCATCTGGCCTGCGGGCCTTAGTTTGCCCATGGCTGCTCTGGTATTTATCCAATAACATCCTCAAATACAAATATTCTTTTCTCTGCGATGCAGTTCGCATGCTCAGCCTCTGCAAATTTTATAACCTCTTCCGTCTAGTGTTGTTAAGGTAACCTTTATTTGTTCACTTCCACTAGCCTGAGCAGAAATGACAAATCTGTGCTGAATCCACCTGTACTGGCAGTCCAAGCTTTATTTACTCGGCCTCTCTCAATTATTGATGAGCTGCTGGCTGACGAAAACCAGCTGCAACACACGTTACCCACCAGAATTGGAGACTTGAGGTTGTAGGGCAGGCTTGCTGTCTAAGGAGTGGGCTTTACTGATGTCATCTGTGAGTTCCAAGGCAGGGCCCAGTCGGGGGATAGCGGCAGCTGGCTTACCCAGGCACACTACCATGTATAATAAATCATTAGTGCGGCGGGGGCTGGTCAACGCTGCGCCCTTGATGACCTTGGTGGCAACCCTGGAGGAGCTCTTCATGCTGGAGACTCGTCGAGGGGACTCGCAGCGCAGCAGGGCTTGGAAACATCTGTAAAACTGTGGCATGCGAAAACAAGAATCGTCATCGCGGATGCGCTTCGCTCGATTTTCAGCGAATACGAAATTCCAGGGACAGAAAGATAGAGTAATAGTCAGTAGCCTGCTTTTTCAAAAGTTGAACGTGGGGTTATTTTGGCTACAGAAGGAATGACCGTACTGTAAAACAATTGTGGCGAAAGAAGGAACTACATCCGACATGTTTCATCATTTACGGGGGAAACCACCTGACGAGTACGGTGCTATGCTTTTCAACTGAGTACGACAAGGGAAAATGTACCCGGCATTTATGTAATGTCGCCTTAATTTCCCTTTGGGATGAATAAAGTATCTATCTATCATACGATCATACTATCATACTAGCATACTGTTCGTATGTAAGCGTAGCATGAGTTCGAAAATGTTGGTGTGTGTTTGCGAAAGGTATCTGAGACTTCTTTTCGAAAAAGATAAAATTTCACCAGCGTTGGATATTTACGATGATGTTTCTTCGGATTTTTTTTTTTTTTTTTTTTTATGGCAAAAAAAATGCCTCAAAAAGGGCTTCATTTTTTTTGCCCGGTTAGCCCCTGAACGATT